ACATCTGACCCCTTCCAAGGCCATATCCACGAACGTAATACATTAATATACTAAATTTCCCTTATCGTATAATGGACAAACGAAAAAAAAAAACAAACATGGACAGGCATTTTTCAAAACAGACAGTTTTGAGGAATCTGTCCATTCAAATGGACAGTTCATGACTCCGAGTCCGTTCAACATTGTAACAGTTTCTGGTTTGCCACCAATTTCAAAATGTGGTCATACGAATAAGAAACACTCCACATTCACGGACGACCTACCATGGTTCGGAAGGGAGGAAGAGGTCTCAGAGTACCTGACCCTCCTAGGTCACAATGACCTAAATTCCTATTAGGAGAGAGAGAGAGAGAGCATGACACTTGCCCTGAAAGGGGTTGGAGCAAGTGCGGTTTACTCCGACCCTCTTGTAGTATTAACACTCTAAATTCACGGACGACTTACCACGGTTCGGAAGGGAGGAAGAGGTCTCAGTGCACCTGACCCTCCTAGGTCACAAAGACCTAAATACCTGTCAGGAGGAGAGAGAGCATGACGAACGCGAATGATTTTTCTGTCACCTATGGGAAATGGGGATTATAGCTCGCACTACCTATATAGAGCATGATTTTTCTGTCACCTTTGGAAAATGGGGATTATAGCTCGCAGTACCTATATAGAGCATGATTTTTCTGTCACCTTTGGAAAATGGGGATTATAGCTCGCAGTACCTATATAGAGTCAAATTGACTCTATTTTAGGTGTAAGAGTTCCTCGCAAAGGGAAAATGACGTAATGAAATTTATATAACGAGTTGTTTTTAGAAAATCCAAAAACGATGAACAAAATGTTGCATATTGAGGACACTTTCCAACGAACAGGGAAGGGTTCGAACCCCCACCTCTGTATCCGCTATTGGGATGCATGTTATTAATATATATTTAAATAAAATCACGTATTTTTTAGGATCTCATCTGAGCCAAAAGTACAAGAAAAAGACGCCATCAGTACAAGAATCACTCCAACTATAATCTACAAAACAACAACAACTGAAGACTGCTGTAGAGAGTTTTGATTTAAAACGACCTACGTAGTCTGTACCTAAAAACAAGTAAAACTAAGTTTTGTTAATTAAATTACCAGTTATTTACGTCGTATATCTTTTGTTCTTATAAAATATTTGTCATACAAGGGAGTTTTTTTATTACCTGACTTGTTTGTACCGCAGGTGTATTCTTTAAGTAAACTGTGTTTTATCTCGATCTTGTCTTTAGGACTGATTCACTCTATCATTAAACTATCGTTTACTTTGTTTTTACCACTTATTTACCCTACAACTAAACCGTTATTTTACCCTGAACTCTTTGTTTCCAGTTGATATGCTGTGTAATTAAACTAATTTCTTATCATTAAATTGTCTTTATGACTGATAAATTATGCAGTTAAACTATCTTGAACTATGCATTATGCATTACCAATACGGCCCGGGATGGCCAGGTGGTTAAGGCAGAACTATGCATTATGCATTACCAATACGGCCCGGGATGGCCAGGTGGTTAAGGCACTCGACTCATAATCTGAGGGTCGCGGGTTCCGAATCCCTGTCACACCAAACATGCTCGCCCTTTCAGCCGTGGGGGCGTTATAATGTGACGGTCAA